TCATGCTCCTCGTGATTTTCGTTGGCATTTGCATCTGCAGCAGGAATAACGTCGTCTTCGCGACGTTGCTGGCGATCTTGATTTCTAGTTAAAGGCATTCTTTACAATTAAGCACCAACAGCATACAATAGTTAGCAAATTTTTCACAAAAGCGTGCGCGCCATTTTGTTAGTCCAAGCAAGAAAAAAATTAGGAAACGTTGGGCAGCCAGATATAGTGAGGGGTAGATCTCAGGGGTATTTAAAACTATGGGTTAGTCACCAATATCGAATTTCGAATTTTAATCTTCCTTTATCACAAACAATTTTCAATTTTAAACAATAAATACATTTAGACGCGGGCGCACGCTATTCACACTCAAAACGGAAGCGCCCGGAACATAGATTATACACTGTTGAAAAGATCGACATAGATGCTAACTATGTATAGCGAGCGGGCATACGGCCGCGAGAGTGACGTACCGGTCGGTTTGCTACATGCTATTAAAGTTTGCTCTTTCCGGATTTAGCTAATTTCCTGAGCTCCTGCCTCAGTATTTTCCCGCTGGGGTTCTTCGGTATTTCGATCACGAAGCATACTCCGCCCCGAAGGTGTTTCGGGTTGGAAAGCTGGAAGGTAAACGGTGGGAAGAAAATTTAATTTTTATTACACGATGTTATTCCTTCACCGTGGAAGTCAATCGTGAACATTTGTTGAGTACGTATTTCTTTAGAAAAATTGGTACCCGCCTGAGATTCGAACACTGGTGCATCGCTCCACACGAATGCACCGGACGTCTTATCTGTTAGGCCACGACGACTTCAAATACTATACTATTCTGAAAACATTTATTCAAAAGATAGTCAGTCCCAAACTGAATCCCCTTTTCCCTACGTGGCCTTGAAAAACCTCTGGCTATTCTATTGTCCGTAGGTCTCGTTCGTATACCTGTTTCTGCCTGTTTCTTTTAATGCTAAAGCTTCAGTTTAAGTGAATATACGTACTTATTACAAGCGTTTACCATTTAGGTTATTTGTGGTATTTTACTTTCAATGTCTCAGTTTTGTTTTATTTGCAATAAACTTTTAACTGAAGATAAAACAGTTGTGGTTGATTGTGGAATGCGAACTTTAATCGAGGCTAGTGTCGCGAGAGGCGATGAGTTTACTGAGTAAATTTAAGAACTCAAAAATCCTTTACCATACACGTGCATTGCAGAAAATCATATACCCGGAAAACTTCAATCGCTGCAGTAAAAAGACAAAGTGAGGAGGAACAGGCTAGTACTTTAAAAATAAGTGCATGATGAATGTCCAGATGTCCTCATAATTGAAACAGCAATAGAAAAGCTTAATGCCACAAACACAACAATTGTAAATGTTGATTTGTTAGTACTACTTACTGCAAGGGCTCCAATAGATAAAATTATGTATTTCCTGAAACCTGGAAGGGCTCAACAGCAAGCAGTAATATATTCTTCAAAAAGTTTATCTGCTTATCCTGAATGCCAAAACTATATTTTATTTTTACATGCGATAATCGGCTGCGACACTTCGTCAGCAATGTACAGAAGAGGCAAAACGGCAGTATTTAAATTATTCAAAAAAAAAAGATTTGACTGCGCCAAAATATTTATTGATTCCACACCTCAAACAATAATTACGGAAGGAATTCGTTTTCTTCTTGCGGCTTATGGAGCTCCAAAAAAAGTACTTGCATTGATAAATTTCATTACTTAACTGTTGCAAAAAATATGCGAAACTAGAAATAAGTACAACTATCATGTTTTCCTCCAACATCGGCCTCTGCTAATCAACACTTGTATCGAGTATACTATCAAGTTCAAACATGGCTAGGCAATCAACTGAGCCCAGAAGACTGGGGTTGGAAATTGATAGATAATATTCTGGATCCGATTCAAACTTTACTCCCACCTGCTCCAGAAAAACTCCTCAACACTATTTTTTGCAACTGCAAAAAAGGTAGTAGTGCCAAATGTGCATCACGGGATAGTTCTGAAAACACCAGACCATTACAAAGCTAATGATATATCATACAGAAACTCCATCACATGTGAAATGTGTGTAATATAATTTTATTGTAACTAAATTACAAAATAATAATACAAAATATAGTACAACAAAATTACAAAAAATAAGAATATAATACAAAATAAGAATAAAGTATTCCGCTTAGTTAACTAAGCACATAGTTTCAATTCGAGACGGCATAATGGAGGCTTAGAGTCGAATTATGAAAACATTCAACCAACTAGCGTCGCACTAAGGGGCTGAAATAAAACTGTCCACTGTTGAATTTATCTATATATTAATACGTGAAGCAAAAACGTTGTACACGTTTTTACGAAAATTGCGCGGACGGAGGAATATGAAATTTTCCTCACTTATAGAAAATAAGGAGTGCAGAATGTTATTATTTTTTTAAATTAAGCATAAAAATAACACATTAAAACAAATAAAAACATTACACACATTACCGTGTATTTGACTTTTTTTTTTTTTTTTTTTTTTTTTTTTTTTTTTTTTTTTTTTTTTTTTTTTTTTTTTTTTTTTTTTTTTTTTTTTTTTTTTTTTTTTTTTTTTTTTTTTTTTTTTTTTTTTTTTTTTTTTTTTTTTNACACCTTCCCCCAGAGCGGTCGGGGGAACGCGGTCTACCATCACCCGGCTTCCTATTGCGGGTGAGCGTGCAGAGCACGCCACCCCTCGTCTGGGTCCCTCCCCGCACAAAACGGGTGGGACCCCTAGCTCTTAGGGGGCCAGGTCACGGATACGACCCCGGTCCCGACCCCCTGCTCGGCGGCGGCGGGTTTCTGCGTAGTGAGGAGAGCTTTCCCTCACTCGCCCCGCCGCCTCCTTCTGCGAGATGGTGCACTCGCAGAAGTCGAGCATAGCCTTCCATGACTCATCGCTGCCAAGCATCGACGCCACGACGCCAGGCAGCGACAAGTCAGGTCCTATCTTTGCGACCAGGACACGGCGCTGCACCTCCCAAGCGGGGCAGACAGCGAGCGTATGCTCCGCCGTGTCCAGGTCGTGTCCACAATGGTGACACCTCGTCGTCGGCTCAGCCCCTATCCGGCGCAGGTACTTCCCGAAGCATCCGTGCCCGGTCAGCACCTGCACCAGACGAAAGGTGAGACGTCCCTCGCCACGATTCACCCAGTCATCAAAGACCGGGTAAACCGCCTCGACGGTCCGTAGCCCCCACGTGGGGTTGGCCAATCGCCTCGACCACGACCGTGTATTTGACTTAACACATATTTATGTATATACTCTGTGCTTATTGTCCAACTTTGGTTATTGTTAAAGTCTGTGCTCAAATTTGAGAATAGATTCATATTGTTTATCTTTATTAATATTTGTCTATAGTGTAGTCTTGGCGAAATCTTTGATTACATAAGTATAACTTTATAGCTATACCCGTCCGCTTCGCTGGCCATTTAAAATTAACATTATTATTTCTCAGCCCTATAAAGATTCTCATCATTAACGCCCCCGCAACTGGTGTAGGGAGTCCAACACTCATATACATATTAGTCTATCCATTAAATACATGTATTTTCTACACGTATAATAGTTTCAAGTCAATCGGATGCATGGTTCAGTAGTTATAACGGAACATCTGTAAAGTGTAGATTTATATATTAGTCTTAGTTATATAGATAAATAGTCTTTGACAGTAGAATAATAACAATGTTCAAACTTATAATTTAAATAAAATAAAGAATTTCGACCACTTAGACGAGCACTAGTTTATAATGAATTAGCCATTCTCCTTAGTTCGTTCCTGTCTAGTTTTCCGCTTTTGTTCTTCGGTACACTATCGACAAAGCGCAATCCCCCTCTCAGGTGTTTGGGATCAGACAACTGAAAAGTAAATTTCAGTTATAAGTTAAACGCTAAGCACGACGGACCCTAAGAAAAAGCACCCACACAAGCACCCGTGGCCTGAAAGATAAGACGTCCGGTGCATTCGTATCGAGTGATGCAACTCTACCGATGTTCGAATCCCGCAGACAGGTACCAATTGTTCTAATTACTTTCGAGTAGTTAACACATGTTCTCGATCGGATTTCGCGATCGAGAAGTAGCATCGCCTCAATAAATCAGCATAAAATAATTTTGTATCATAACGAAATTTAATAAAAGGTGCTTAAATCGGGGACGTTCTGTATTTCAAGGCTTTTTCTTTTTTTTTTCTAAGATGTGTAGTGTGTGTGTGCTCACGGCCCACCCGGAGTTCAATTGTTATCAACAACATAAACGTCGCCACCCGTCTTGAGACACGAGTTCTAAGTCTCAATTACAGTACAACGGCTGTCCCACCCTTCAAACAGAACGTATTACTGCTGCACGGCAGAAATAGGCAGGGTAACCGTAACTGAGAAAATCCGACAAGAAACTCAGTGGGCTGTGTCTGTGGATTAATTTACTCTCCGAATTCTTCGTCGTAAGCGACGGGTTCGACGAGAACGATGACCGCTGCTTGAGGTACCTAAAAGAACCGCTAGTGGATCGGGAGGATCCGAAATGACGTATTTAGGGCAATTGCAAAGATAATAGTCGCGTATTAAAAGAAATGTCGCTTATCAAATAGCCTTATCTAAATACCTTAAGCGGAATTCCATATTCGTCTGCCTTTTTTTTTATTGCCCTTGTAAGCAGACGAGCACACGGCCCACCTGATGGTGAGTGGTTCCCGTCGCTCATGGACGTCAGCAATGCCAAGGGCAGAGCCAAGACGCTGCCTACTGCTAAACTCGTCGCTAAACAATTGCTTGCTCGGGCAATAAAAAAATAAAGCCCTTCACCCCTCGATATATTATTGTTTGACATGTTTGTCCGTGGTGCGTGTCATAAGCAGTCGCGAAAATCTCATAGCAAATCTCACACCGACCCGTTTCGCAACAAACTCTTTGAGTTCCTCTTCGGTGGCTTCCTTCCCTGGCTGTAAAGAGACGAAGGCCAGTGGAATCTCCCCGGCATCCGGATCCTTCAGCCCGATAACGCCGGCTTCTCTTACTGCCTCGTGCAGGAGTAACACGGCTTCTACTTCAGCTGGTGGAACCTATGAATAAACAAAGAGCCGTTTTTTTTATTGGTTTAACGAGCTCACGGTCTACCTGGTGTTAAATGGGGGTAGGACCTCTTGAGTCTACACGGGTAGGTACCACAACCCTGCTTATTTCTGCCGTGAAGCAGTAATGCGTTTCGGTTTGAAGGGTGGGGCAGCCGTTGTAACTATATTGAGGCCTTAGAACTTATATCTCAAGGTGGGTGGCGCGTTTACGTTTGTAGATGTCTATGGGCTCCAGTAACCACTTAACACCAGGTGGGCTGTAAGATCGTCCACCCATCTAAAAAGGGATTAGAGGTGGTTAGAAGGCAAAGGCTCCGTTCTATAGTACAACGGCAGCTCCGAGCAAATCTAATCGTTATGCATTACTGCTCACGGCAGGAATAGGCAGGATGGTTGTTCGGACTCACGGGGATCAACCTGAGAGTTTGCTAACACTAGCCCTGGCAAGAGCAGTGCTTCGCTGAATCTACCACCGGATCGGAATCGCGACCCACTGAGGAGATCCGGCGTGGAACTTATAGGGTTGTATCTGTGGGTCAGATTACCAGTCTAATTCATCGACTTTTTGGTGGGAAAGCGAGGAGTGAAGTTGTGTGATTTGTTTTATTTAAATGTATTATAACGGTGGTTAATTAACTGTTTAGTATCTGTGAAAGTGCACAAATGTGGGAAAATGAAACAAAGCCGCTGAACGTAACTTCTCGGGATCCTCCAAAAAGTCCACTGAAAAAGTCTTAAGTAAATGACCACCATTTTACTGAGATTATCTTTCGTCCCATATCATCTCATTTCATTTCGTTTTCATCCCATGTTTCATATTAATCAACTTTATTTCACTTCATATCATTTTCACATTAAAAAAAGTTTTCACTAAAATTAAAATAAGACTTGACCTAAAGGTCTTAGTTACCAGGTCTAAAATCACTTAAAAAAATGTGTGTGTGTGCAAGTCACACACGGTAGAAGTGAAACTTATAATTATAAAATATAAAAAAAATCGCAAGGGTCAACCACTCCGCAGTGCAAAGGAGCAGCCGCACCCCGGGGGAACCGCCTGCATGATCACGGTATTCCGACGATAGGTAGATATGATTTAGCAAGAGAAATACGAGAACATCTATGAACTGTGTAACATCTCATCACCGCGATTCAGGAATTATTAAATTTACGTGCAGCGACATCTGTTGATAACAAATTAAATAGAAATAAAATAAACATGGCGCGTAACGGAAGAAATTAAGATGGCGCGTAACCGAAAAACGTTACATACGTTTTTTCCTCCCTACGCCGATAAAGAAGTTTCACTTACAAAAACCTAATCCATCGATTTCGTATAACCACCGACCTGTTCTCCGTGGCATTTGATGAATTCCTTAATCCTGTCGCAGATGTAGAAATGTCTGTCCTCGTCGTAGTAGCCCACGTCGCCGGTCCTGTAGAAGCCTTCGTCATCGAAGTCGTCGGACCTGGCCCTCCCCATGTAGCCCTTCATGAGGAGCGGACCCTTTACGTAGATTTCCCCTTCCTGATTTGGTCCTAAGGGTCTTTGATCTTTTATGTCGACCACCTATACGTACATACTCGTTACTATACTTCTGATAATCTATATAATATATAAAAAGGAATTGCTGTTCGTTAGTCTCGCTAAAACTCGAGAGCGGCTGGACCGATTTGGCTAATTTTGGTCTTGAATTATTTGTGGAAGTCCAGAGAAGGTTTAAAAGGTAGATAAACATGAAAATGTTCCCGTCCGTTGGATTTATTTTGTTTGTTTTAAGTTTATTTTATACAAAAGTTTATGACTTTTATTTATCGATTGAGGCACTACGAAGTTTACCGGGTCAGCTAGTATCACAATATTTTCTTCAGTTTAAATCAGTTGAAAAACATAATGACTTGTTTTAAAATTGCCTATTTAGGTAACGTCACGTAACGACTTCCCTTCAGGCGGGGCGCGAACACATTCAACGGTATGAAGCAATAAAATGGTTAATAAAATTATACTTTCACTATGCATGTGCAAATTTCGAATGCTGTGAACAAAAAATGTGTTAGAAACATGTTATAATGAGTCTTTGATACATTCGTGAATTGTATCGTCTTCATTCATACGTGTCAGGGTGTCGTGTTATCAATAAATATTGCAGTTATTACACATATATTATGTTTGCTAAATTTTCATTTCAGCTTTATGTTAAAAGCATTAAGATTGAATTTCGCGTGTTTTCCTTTAAAAATGACAGCCTACAAAGACATATAAATCTTTCGGGGTAACTTATAAATAAACGTCAAGACTTGTTTACATTACCTTCTACCTAAAAGCTGGTATTCAAATTTTCGTGTGTATCTTACTTTAAGGTAATCCGTCCGTTAGGGTTGAAATATCGACAAATCTGTCTTTAGTTCTCACAATATTAAAAGTTCGATTTGCCATAATTACAATTTTCTAGCTCTACCATTTTTATCGAGACAAGTAATTGTACAGTAAAAGGTCTTCATTCAGGTAGGTGAGCTCACGGGGCTGAAACCGGGTGTGTTGCTAACACGAACCCTAGCAAGAGCAGTGCTTCGCAGAATCTACCACCGGATCGGAAACGCGACCTACTGAGAAGATCCGGCGAGAAACTCAGTGGGCTGTGTCTGAGAGTTAATTTACTCGTCGAGCCCTTCGTCGCAAGCGACGGGTTCGACGAGAACGGTGACCGGTGCTTGAAGTACCTAGAAGCATCGTTAGTGGATCGGGAGGATCCTAGATGACGTGTTTTGGGCGACGACGACTGCTTTCCATTCTGTCCGCAGGATCGGGAATGTAGTTACCGGCGGCCATGATGAGGGTTCTCGTGTCGTGCCGCTTTATCGAAGTGGAGTGGATGATTACCGTCGCCCATGGACTTCAACAATGCCAGGGGCAGAGCCAAGCCGCTGCCTACCGCTCAATATTCTGCACAAGCCTCGTTTGAAGAAGGACATGTCATAGCGCTAGCATATTTTAGCCTAATTTTATTACCTTCACGATAATATTGGGAGCGACCAGTCCCACGCTGCCGGACTTGACTATATCTGCATGTTTGTACGTGTATGTGATGATGACCGTTGTAGTCTCCGTCGAACCGTAGCCCTGGTGGATGGCTTTAAGGTTGGGAAATCTGGTTAAGAAATAATTTGTCATTTATGGACCGCTTGGAGACACACATAGTGACGGGTAAAGTGGATGAGACGATTCAGGGGCGGAGCCAAAAAGAGGCAGCTATCTGAGCACCTTTTGAAGTCGTCGTGGCCTAAAGGATAAGACGTCCGGTGCATTCGTATCGAGCGATGCAACGGTGTTCGAATCCCGCAGGCGGGTACCAATTTTTCTAATGAAATACGTACTCAACAATTGGTCACGATCGACTTCCACGGTGAAGGAATAACATCGTGTAATAAAAATGAAACCCGCAAAATTATAATTTGCGTAATTACCGGTGGTAGGACCTCTTGTGAGTCCGCACGGGTAGGTACCACCACCCTGCCTATTTCTGCCGTGAAGCAGTAATGCGTTTCGGTTCGAAGGGTGGGGCAGCCTCTCTACTGTTAAAAGTGAGACCCTAGAATTCATGTCTCAAGGAGGGTGGCGGCATTTACGTTATATAAATATCTATGGACTCCGGTAACCACTTAACACTAGGTGGGCCGTGAGCCCGTCCGCCTAAGGAAAAAAATTGAAATACTATCATGCCCCTTGTGATCGAAAAGTAATAAAAAGGATGAAACATTTACTTTTTATAAGCAGCGCTTATCGTCTCCTTGTGTAGTGGAGTGACCGATGAATATATAAATCTGATAGAGCTCAAGTCGTATTTAGCGTCGCTTTTACACATCGCGACCAGAACTGTAGGCGCCACGACCACCTGAGCTACCTGGAAGGTGTTTGTGAATGAAAGAGAAAGATTAAAGCCTTATTTAATTAACCTACCTTCAATATTCCCTCGTAAACTCAGTACAAAAAGGTTGCATACACATAGATTCTCTTGTATAATCTGTGATACTATTAAAAATACCGCTAAAAAATACTTTTTGGGCGGGAACGCGAGGAGTGCAGTTGTGTGATTTGTTTTATTTTGTCTATTTAGTGTTTCTTCAAGTTTAAATGTATTATAACAGTGGTTTATGAACTGTTTAACATCTGAGAAAGTGCACAAAAGTAGGAAAATGAAACAAAGCCGCTGGGATCCTCCAAAAAGTCCACTGAAAAAATCTCAGTAAATGACCACCATTTTACTGAGATTATTTCATTCCATTTCATCACGTCTTACATATAATTTCATCCCAGTTGATTAATGACTCAAATTAATCATCTTCATTTCATTTCTCTCCATTTTATTATTTTTCATAAAATTAAGAATGTAAATTAAAATAAGACATGACCTAAAGGTCTTAGATACCAGGTCATAATATTTCTTAAAAAAAAATCCGCCAAAAAAGACTTTTTGGGCGGGAACGCGAGGAGTGAAGTTGTGTGATTTGTTTTATTTTGTCTATTTAGTGTTTCTTCAGGTTTTAATGTGTAATAAGGGTGGCTTATTAGCTGTTTAGTATCTGTGAAAGTGCACAAATATGGGAAAATGAAACAAAGACGCTGGACGTAACTTCTCGGGATCCTACAAAAATACTCAGTAAATGACCACCATTTTACTTAGATTATTTACTAAGATTATAAAAAAAGCGTGGGGTGCATGGTATCAGTAGTTATAAATATTTGATGAACAGATAGAGTAGAAGGGTTATTTTGACAATATCCTAAAAAGCACTTTTCTCTTACACTATTTTTAATTCAAATGTATTAAAATTTAATTTCAATTTTTAGTTGGATTTTCTATAAAAGCGTTTTTTTTAGTTTCTTTAAACTATTATTTATTTTTGATTTTTTAGCTGAATTTCAATTTTTTCAATATTTTTTTTAAATATTGTATTGTCATTGGTTCTTAATAAGTATGCCAAATTTTGAGTTAATCCGTGGTTAATCCGACGTTTTGAAGGGGGTCAAAATCATATTTAAAGATTCCGTTACATACTAACATACATACGTCTGAAGCTAATAAAAGCGTATTAAAAACACATCACCTTACCTACCTTATATTTCTCGATTGTTTTCAAAAATAATTCCAATTCAAAATTTTCCAGATACAGACCGCTCCTTCCAAAAGCCATTCCTGCCGAGACCGCCAGCACACCAGAGGAATGGTGCCATTCTCTTATGTTCAGACTACTGAGCTCTGGATTTAGAATGGCCGGCCTATACATTGAAGATTAAGAAATGTATTATAGAAGATTGTTCAAAACAAATAGCTATTAAGTTTATTAAAACTGCAGCACTTTTGACAAGTGCAGTTAAGCTGCTTTCAGACTACGCTATAATATGATAGCATATAGTATATAGCTTATAGAACAACAATATCACAACAACAATATATACTATTGGCTAAGTATACGCGCTGGTATGCTGCCACCCACCTTGAGATATAAGCTCTAAGGTCTCAGTAACGGCTGCCCCACCCTTCAAGCCAAAACGCATTACTGCTTCACGGCAGATAAAGGCAGGGTGGTGGTAGTCCGTGCGGACTCACAAGAGGTCCTGGCGCTAGTAAAGTAATCTGCGAAGTACTTCTCTTGCTAGGGCTAGTGTTAGCAAATTCTCTCAGATTGAGCCCGTGAGCTCACCCGTCCGGGCGTAGCTGGACTACTGTCTTAAACTACCAGCTAAAAGCTAGGGAAAAATCTCGTTGTAATCTGTGTGTGCTTAGTGCGAGTTTTTTAACGTTCTCGATAGCGTAAAAGTTAGCCCATATTTGTATGGAACGAGATCGATTGCCTACGTTTGCTACCCGATGATATGTAGGCGAAGTAAAATGTCCCTTAGAAATAAGGTGACACTCTACAAAACTTGCATACGCCCCGTCATGACCTATGCAAGTGTAGTGTTCGCTCACGCGGCCCGCATACACTTAAAATCCTTCCAAATCATTCAATCCCGTTTTTGCAGGATAGCCGTCGGAGCCCCGTGGTTCGTCAGGAACGTCGACCTCCATGACGACCTGGACTTAGAGTCCA